CCCACCCCTGTCCCTAGCCCCAGGGTGATGATTCTCCCACGTACTAGCTGCGCTTGCTTTTTTGTATTTTATGTAGACAAGAGATGGGAATGAGGTGAGCGGTAAAGGAAGGGGAAGAAAGGTCAGTGTGGACCTGCTTTCACCCAGCTTTAGAGCAGGAGCAGGGTCTGCCCGGTCACTGGAGATCGAGGTCAAGTGGGTACAGGGGAGACAGGAAAGGAGGCTTACTAGAAAGGGTGAGAGCCTGTGGGGCCCCACCCCAGGAGGAAGGCGAGAAGGGGTGGAGGGTGTGTGGCAGTGGTTTTTGACAAACACTAAGGATCCCCTTGGCTCCCCATTCCCCATCTGCACCCCTTCTCTCCTCCCTGTGTCAATACACTAGCTGTTTCTATTCCTGTCTGCTGTGGTGTCTTTGTTGGTGGGCGTCACCGTGTGTTCTGAGGGGCAGGCACACAAATGTTGCACTGTCACCAGCGTCCTCATGCTCACTGTTGCCCAGCCTCACCCCTGCTCTAGGTGGGGGGGCAAGATGCAGTCCTCAGAGCACCCCAGGTGCACATTTGTGGTGGCTGTGGGCAGAGGCTGTGACATAAGCAACACTCAGGGGGCTCTCCCTTCACCCCACCAGCACTTACCCAGTACCTTCTACATACTGGGGACCTTCTACATATGGACCCAGTCTCAGGGTAGTGACATCTCAGGGAGTAGAAGCAAGTGAGGGCCACAGGAAAGGAGTAGACTGACTGCAAACACACAGATAATGTCCCTTTATGCCTTACTCTGCTCAGCTTGGGGAGAGGAAATAAATAAGGCAACAAATTCAGTGCCCTCAGGGAACTTACACTCCAGCAATAGTCAAGAAACATGGATTGCTGAGGACAAAGGGGTGTGTCAGGCAGAGTAGGAGCCTCAGAGAGGGAGGTGGTTTTATAATCTGGAGGCATGAGGAACCCAGACTAATGGAAAGGACCTCAAAATAGGAAAGTGAGTCATGGTGACCGGCCATTCTGTGGCTTTTTGTACAACCTAAAGCATCTCTGCACCGTCTCATTTGACCCTCTTACTGTCTCAAAAGGTAGTTATTGTCCCCTTTGCCCCTAGAAATGGGGACTCAAGGCCACACAGCTTTAGGCAAGTAGCCAAGGGCTCTGCAGCCAAGGGCTCTGGCTGCAGACCCTTGCTCCTGTGACATCATACTCCCTGTCTGAACAAAAAATACTGATGATAAAACATACCTTTACATCCCCTGGGCAGAAGAGTTAAGCCTGCTTTCAAATCAGTGAGAGCCTGGCCAGCATAGCTCAGCGGTTGAGCATCAGCCTAGGATCCAGGAGATCGGGGTTCGATTCCCAGTTAGGGCACATACATGGGTTGTGGGCTCAACCCCAAGTGGGGGGCGTGCAGGAGGCAGCTGATCAATGAGTTTCTCATTGATGTTTCTATCTCTCTCTCTCCCTCTCCCTTCTTCTCTCTGAAGTCAATTTTTTAAAACATATTAAAAAAAATTAGTGAGAAAAAGCATGTGTGGGATTATGAGAAAACATTGGAAAAAGCAAAATGAAATGAGCCTCTGAATTCATTCTGGAAACCCCTGTTTCCCCACGGGCTTTGAAAGGGCTTCTGAGAGAATGAGGTCCCTGCCTCATGTGGGCAAATTCAAAGAAGGAAACCCCTCTCCCAGCCCTGGGCTAAGGCCCCAGGGGCCCTGGTGGGCCTTGGACATCAGTGAAGGAGGCCCATCTCTGAGGGCGCCTACATGCACTTCCAAGTCTGGGCACCTGGGGGCGCCAGAGCCCCACCCATGGCCAACAAGGGGTCCACTCACCTTGGGCTCAGTTGACCTGGTGGATGGATCTGGCTCTGAATTATAGGGGCTGTGGGGACACTGTGGGCTGGGGAACACCAGAACCAGCAGGCCAGAGGGCTGAGGGGATAAGGCAAGTCAGCGAAAACTGCTGCAAGCTGGTGACCTCACATGACAGGACACAACACTCAGCAGGCCACATGTAATTATACATTATATATATATATATTTGTTGTTAGAATGTAACACATAACCTGTAGTAAAACTGAAAACACAGATAAGTACAAAGAAGGAGGGGGGGGAATCATCCCTTTTCAATCACCCAGAGGCAACCACTGATGGATCTCCTTCAAGATGTTTTTTCCTGAGCATGTACTTTACACAGTTAAGATCTCACTGTGGCTTAAAATTCGATTCTGCTCTTTTCTCAGTTAAAATGCATAAGCAATTTCTAATGTACTTTCAAAGTTTATAAACATTATTTTTAAATAACTGATTCTTTTTCTGTCTGTTTCATGTAACACTTTGCCATTGCAGAGAGGACAGAAAAGGAGCGAGAGAAAAAAAATCATCTCAGCAAAACCATCATGAACATTATGGTGGGAGGACGTTGAGCATTTTATTTCATTTTATTTTTCAATTTTGAAATAGACACAACATTTACAATTTTTTTACTGGCTGTTATAAATAATGCTTCCTGGAATGTATATCTTTGCACATATCTCTAGGAATTTCCATGAAATAAGTTCCAAGAAGGAGACTGGCTAACTCAGAGGTGTCCATGTTATAAAGGCCATTGATAATATTTCCAAGTGTCACCCAGAGAAACTAGACCTTTGTCATTCTCACCTGCAGCGGAGCTTACTTCCCCTCATACTCCTCCCAACACCACAAGTTTTCTCAGTTTTAATTTTTGCTAACTTGATAGGAAAACAATTATTTTTCATTATTGTTTCAAATCACATTTGTTTGAAAAGAAGTTGAAATTTTTTTATTAATATGTATGGGTTACTTGCATTTCTTCTGGTGTAACATGTTTCTATACCTTTTACTCATTTTTTTCTTTTTATGTATTGCTTGTAAAGAGAGAAAGAAACATTGATTTGCTGTTCTGCTTCTTTATGCATCATTCATTGACTCTTGTATGTGCTCTGACCCAGGGATCAAACCCAAAACCTGGGAGTATCAGGACGATGCTCTAACTAACTGAACTGCCCAGCCAGACCCTTTGCTCATTTTTAATTTTTTATTGCCAAGATTATCTTTTTCATGTTGATTTTTAAGATTACATGTTTTGAAAATATTTTATAAAGGGTGTTTATTATATAAACAGACTTTTTCAATGTTTATACAACACTTCATTTAATTCCCCTCTGGACATTTCATTAATTCCCAGTTTTATATTGTAAAGAATGCTACAGCGAATGCTTTTTCTTTAAATATTTCAGGTGCCCCGCTGGCATGGCTCAGTGGTTGAGCATCAGCCTATGATCTAGGAGATCAAGGATCGATTCCCGGTCAGGGCACATGCCCGGGTTGTGGGCTTGATCCCCAGTCGGGGGCGTGCAGGAGGCAGCCGATCAATGACTCTGTCATCATTGATATTTCTCTCTCTCCCTCTCCTTTCCTCTCTCTGAAATCGATAAAGATATATTTTAAATAAATAAATAAATAAATATTTCAGGTAATTTCTTAGGATGGAATCCTAATGACTCCCCTGATGACTGGTCTAAATTTGTGACCACCCCCCACCCCCTGTACTGCCTCCCCCGTTGCTCCTGTCCCTAGCCCAGTGTCCCCTTTCTCCAGGTCCTCTCTCTTCCAACTTCCCCTCCTCACTCTCAGCTGCTGACCTATTTCCTTCTTTCTTCCAAAAAGACTGCTCTTGTCAAGGTCCCCATGCCCTGCACATTGCTTGCCCCGTGGTGACTTCTCAGTCCTCATCTGCCTTGAACTTCTTTGTCACGATGATCACTCTCTGGTCCTCCTCAGCTTACGCTGCTGGTTCTTCTTCTTCTCCCTGACCTCTGACCTCTGACCTCTAACAGAGGGCATGCCCCAGGGCTCAATTCTTCTCCTCTCTGCCTATGCTAGGCCCTGAGAGACTCCCTCCAGCCTCATGACTGGTGACTCCCAAGTTTACAGTTTATCCCATTCCTTTGCCCTAAATTCCAGTCATGAATATCCATTCCATGGTCTAATGGCATCTCAAAGTTAACACTCCCCAAACTGATATCCTGAGGACTACCCACGTCCCCCCCTTCCCCCCACCCCATGTGCTAGGCCACAGTCTTCCCCATCTCAGCTGGTGACCATCCTTCCTTCCAGCTGTTCAGGCAAAAGGACCTGCAGTTCATCCTAAACTCCTCTCATCCTCTCGCACCCTACATTCACCCATTAGCAAATCCTGTCAGCTCCATCTTTAAAATATATCTGGAATCCAGTAAGAATGCCTACCACCACCACCGCCACCGCCACCGCCGCCATCTCCTGTCTGGATTATAGCACTAGTTTCCAAAGTGGTCTCCTTCCTGCTCTCGCTCCATGCAGTTTATTCTCCACACAGCAGCAGAGTGATCCTGTGATAGCTTGTTTTTTCCTGCTCAAAACCTTCCAGAACCTTCCCAAAGCCCTCAATGTAAAAGCCGAAGTCCTCACAATGCCAGGCAAAGCCAGACGTGACGATCCCTTCACCTCGTGTCTCAGCGCTCTCACTCACGCTCACTCAACCCCCGGCAACCGCCTTAGTATTCCCAGAGCATACAGAGCACAGACCTGCCTCAGGACACTTGCACTCGTGCTTCCCTCTGCCTGGACCACTTTTCCCATCAAATATCTACATGCTTGTTCCCTCATTTTCGTCAGGTCTCTATCCAAAAGCCTTCCCCAACCAAATGCTAGGAAATAGCATGCTCCTCCCCACCCTGAGGCTTGTCGCTCTCAAGCCACCCTCCCTGCTTTGCTGTTCTCCAGGGCACTTACTACCACTGCACGTATTTCATTTGTGTGTTTGTTCACTTTGTCCTCCATACCAAAATACATACAACTGAGGACAGGTTTCTTTATCGATTAGTTGATTTTAGAGAGGGGGGGGAAGGGAAAGAGAGAGAGAAAGATCGATTTGTTGTTCCACTTATTTATGCATTCATTGGTTGATTCTTGTATATGTTATGACCGGGGATCGAACCCACAACCTGGACATATGGGGACAAGGCTCTCACCAACTGAGCTATCCGGCGAGGGCTGAGGCAGGTACAGTGGCACCTCGGTTTTCGAACGTGACCCGTTTCCCGAAGCCCCTTCGAGTTCTGAAACGTTGGAAAACCGAGGGATCCACAGCCGACAGCGCGGCTCAGGATCGTGCCCTCAGCGGAAGCCGGGGCATGTTGCACTTCCGAGGCGGGTTCGGAAACGGAAGCATTTCCTGCGGGGTTTCCGGCCTTCGCAACCGGAAATGGTTGTCAACGGAGACGTTCGAAAACCGAGGTACCGCTGTATTTTTGTCTGTTTGATTCATGTTGAGTCCCAAGGACCTAGTGCAGTACCTGACAACATAGTGGGGACTTTATGAGTATTGTAAAAGCATAGCCTCAGAAATGGAACCTGAGACCTGCTGCCAAGCTGCTTCCGAAGAGATGGAGCCGATTCTCACCCTCACCACTAGTGGGCAGACTATCTGCACCCTAGTCCCACTCCAAGGGAGGCGACTGACACCCAGGGAGCAGAGTGTGCTGCTGGGGGAGCCCGGGCCTCCTGACTGCCAGGAAGGGAGGGCTTTACCGAGGAAGGGGTTCTTTTGGGGTAGGCATGGGAGAATGGGAAGAATTCTACTAGGTAGAAATGAGAAGAAAGTCCAGGTATTTCCACATTGCCACATTCCAGGTAGGAGATACACTATAAACTGAAACTTGAGAACAGCAGGGTCCAGGTGGACTGCAGGAGACCCTTTCACACTGAGGAGATGGGAGGGGGCCAAGAACACCAGCCAAGGAGTTTAAATGAATGCCCTGGGCACTGGGAGCCAGGGGGGATTTTGAGCAAAGGAGTTACATGAGAACTGAAGCTTCATGCTGGCTCACTATCTGACCATCTGCTGTCTTTCAGTTTCCATTTCTTTGTTGCTCTCTTTTTCTGTGTATTTCTCTTGGCTGTCCTCGGCCCCTCCATGGCCAGCAGTTACTAAGTCGTTTTTTTTAAAATTTTTGGTTTTTTTTAATATGTCTTTATGGATTTCAGAGAGAAGAAGGGAGAGGGAGAGAGACAGAAACATCAATGATGAATCATTGATCCGCTGCCTCCTACAGGCCGCCTACTGGGGATGGAGCCTGCAACCCGAGCATGTGGCCTGCCGGGGAGTCGAGCCGTGATCACCTGGATCATAGGTCAATGCTCAACCTCTGAGCCACGCCGGCTGAGCACTGGCTAAGTTATTTTTCTTTTCCATGTCACTACCCTGACGACCTATCAGGGTGTAGGTGAGGGAGGATATGAGCCAGGACCCTGTGTCTCTTAGCCGCCCCAGCGCCTCAGTGCCACCCTTTTTCTGTCCCTGGAGGAGCAGAGAAAACAAGACTTGGAAGGCACTTGGGAGAGGAAGGTTCCTCTTGCTCTTACTCCCCTTGAGTGACTCTGAGGTGCTGGCCTCCCCTCCTGCTCTGGGGCCAGGCTTCAGACCCTTACAATCCTTGGGCTGATTCTCCATGCTTAGTACCAGTCAGTGCCAGCTGGCAGCTCTCGCCGGAGGCTGAGGTGGCACGAATATGGGGGAGGCGGGGGAAGTGGGCAGGGGCCCAAGGGACCAGGATGGAGAGGAGGTGGCAGTCAGAAGCTGGGTGGCCAACTTGGGGGCCACATGGGATGAGGGAAAAGCTAGACTGAGGAGTCTGAGGGCTTCCAGGGGAGTAGAGGAGGTGTCAGGCCCCCCACTCTGGCCCTCCTGCCCCTGGAAAACCTAATCATCTCCCACCACCCACTTTCCTCTGCACCTACCTCCTTAAGCTCCCCCTAGCTAATTTGTCTTGGTCCCTTTAAGAGCTGCCTGGGAACTGGGGCACCGGAGGGGGCTGGCAGGGCCCCCACTGCTTACCCTGCCATGCCCGCCGTTGCTCCTCCCCCTGACTGGTAGAGACTCTGCTGGAAGTCTTGGACGCCTGGGTTAGGGTCTCCACTTCTGGGCTGGGGGTAAGGTTTGAAAGTGATGGGGAAGGGGGACCATGGTCCCTGGGCTGGGATGGGGGTGTGGGATGCCAGTTTCCTAGCTCTGTGGACATGGAGTGTCTGTGTGCCAACTTCAGTGGATAACGTGGGGGGCCCTGGCTGGGTGGTCCTCTGGCCTCAGGCTGGGGGAAGGGCGGAGGATCTGGAGGGGCAGAGCCCAGGGGGCAGGATGTGAGGGTCTCCTCACCCTCCACTCCCCATCTCATTTCCCAGGACTCTCGTTAACTAAACTCCATCAGCCACTCCCTGTCTCTCCTGCAATAAAAGACATAGGGCCCTGACACCCCATCTTCCCACAGGTGGGGAAACTGAGGCTCAGCAAACCAAGGGAAATGGAACTGTGTGTGAGGCAGAGGAGAAACGGGGATTAGATTGTGGAAAGTTTCTCCGTCCGGCTCCACCCCAGAGAACCAGACACAGGGGACCTGGGTGTCCAGCTTACCCCAGCAAGTTCCCAACTACAGCCATGGCCACTACCTAGACTAGGTCTCTGCTGCCTCATCAGGACAACTTAACACCTTCCTGGAGGTTTTGATTTCCATATGCCAGGGCCAGGAGAGGCTCCCCGAGGCACAGCTGGGTGACCCGGGCTGAAGGGTAGCCAGGGGAAGTTTGTAGGCCCCTTACTTTCCTCCCTGGGGTTATTCAGAAATGTGGCCCCTTCCAACCTTGCCACAGAGACTGGGTTCAATTCCCCAAAAGGGAAGGAGACAGGGTTGGGGGCAGGGACCCAGGAACATCCCCTGGGTGTGACGTCCTCCTTCCTGTTACAACAGTAGTTCAGTTTCATCTAGTCCCTGCCACCTTGACTCCAAATGATTTCTTCCCCTCCCACTACGTGTCCCAGGCCTGGGGGAGAAGAGCCTAAACAAGCAGGTACCCCCTGAGTCCCCAAGGCCTGTGAGCTGAGGGCAGCAAGGATGGAGTCAGGGGTGGTGGGGGCCGTGACAGCAGCTCTGCTTAGAGTTCACTTCTGCTTTCAAAACATGCCATGTCCTCCCCATCCCAGGCAGAAATGCTCACCCCCTACCCAACCCAGACCTAAAAGGGAACCAGACATGGCCTGAAAAACCCTCTGCCCGGGGGGGGGCACCAGCATGTTCACTTCCTTCTTCTTAGAAAAATACTATTAAGTCTAGAAATGAGCCAAGCTTTTCTCAGGAAGGCTGCAAAGCCATTATTTTACCCATGTAAATCAGAGAGGGCAAGCCCCCTGCCCAGGATCACACAGCAGGTAAGAGGCAGTCAGGCCTGGGACCCAGGGCTCTTGCTCCCCAGCCCCATAGTGCCTCTTTCAGTCTTCCTGCAGCTGAGAGAGGTCAATCTGAAACGATTTTTTTTTTCAGTTCCTCGTGTTCCCAATGAAGAAGTCCAGTGAAGATAGGAGAGGTCTCTGTTAACTAGGGTTGCTTGGGACCAGGAGTGGGGGCAGACACAAGGTGCAGCTTCCCGAGCTCCCACCCGGACCCCTGCTTGCCTCTGCTCCTTCACAGATGGGAAAGGACCTAGCTCAGGCTTCTCTGTTTTTTTATTCCTATCTGGTCTAGACCTTTGGAAAGTCCATTCTGAAGTATGTCCTCCATCCCTCTTCTTACAGCACAAACCTTCCCCTTCCAATAGGTCTCAGGGGTTAGTCAAGACTTCTGGAGAAGTCATCTTGATAAGGTGGCGGAGGAAGAATGGCAGGCCCAGAACCTGGAGGTGGCCCCCTTCCCACAGAAGGCAGGACAATATTAATAGAAGAGGGCTTCTTAGGTTTCCTTTTGTTTGTTTTTTATTGATTTGAGAAGAGAGAGGGTGGGGGAGAGAGAGAGAGAGGCATCGATGGGCTGCCTCTGTACCCACCCTGAGGGGGGATGGAACCCAAAACCTGGTGTGTAACCTGACTGGGAATAGAACCCACAACCTTTTGGTGTATGGGAGGAAGAGCCAACCAACTGAGCCACCGGGCCAGGGCTTTTTAGGCTTCTTAGGCTTCTTGACAGAGGAGAGACCCCATCTCTTGGCTTGTTTGCATAGATATTTGGGTGTTCATTTGCTTCCTGATTGGCAAACTCAGTTTGCATGGGGTCAGGCTGGCTGGCATCCAAGTGTGAGCACCTTGCATATACACAGCAGGAAGAGGGAAGCCCAGAGGGGCCGGCCGTAAGGAGGAGAATTGGCCCCAGCTGACCCTGAACCCAGCCTGGGGACATCTGTGCTGCCGGTGCCTGCCTGACAGTGAGCAAGGGAGCTGAACAGTGACCCCCAGGGCCTAGTGTGCCCCCTCCCGCCACATCTGGAAGCCTGTCTCCTCTACATGTGGATCCAGGAGCCGCAGAAGGTGGGGTGCAGGGGGACACGGGTAGGAGGAGGAAGAATATGGGGAGATTCTAGTCCCTCCCACTTAGAGATGCGGTCGCCATGGTGACTGAGGACCAGAGAGGTGGGATGGGGTTGGGGATGGGGGGCGGGGGTGTGGCAGGACTAAGCTCTGGGAGACGGAGAGCCAGGCATTCCAGGGGGAGGGAGACGCAGCAGCAGCCTCCAGCGCCAGGTAAGGAAGCAGGGGAGCTGGCAGCTCTGAAAGGAGCCGGTGGGCCATTGTCTGGGGCTGTGCCCTGAGCAGGGGGCAGACAGAGGGGGTCCGGCCATTGTCTGCGATCTTCAGCTCAGCCTTCCAGCATTAGTCAGGCTGGAGGAGGAGGGAGCCTAGGAGGCGCTGGGTAAGGGGTTGGCGGGATTGGGCTGGGCAGGTGGCAAGAAAGCTGCGAGACAGCAGGGGGGGGAAGAGGTGGGGGGATCCTGGGAGAGTAGAGGCTTAGGGACATCCCTAGTGCTTCTCGCACGGTAGGCGCTTAATAAGTGTAAGTTGCTTTGACTTGCTTGTTTAATAAAAGGAGGGCAGCGAGGGGGTGAGGCAGGGGGGCTAAGGAAAGGGAGCCAGGGAGCTCCCTACTAGGAGCCTACTCTTCTGGGTCTGCCCCAGAGGCTGGAAGGAAGAAGGGGGTAGGGGGCACTGGGCCTGCTGGGTGAAGCCCCCAGTGGCTTTTCTCCTGATACCCCACCCAGTGAGGTACCCGTGCTCCAGGCGTACAGAAGAGACAGAGCCCTGGGGTGAGCATGGGGTAGGGGTGAGGAGTGACATCGCTATCTCCCCTCCCACCCTCACCCCCACCCACACATCTGGATCTCTACCCTGGGCCAGAAACCTGGCAGGGAGGGCCCACTGTTTGATACAGCCTAGGGGCTGTGGAGGAGGAGTCCCTGGAAAAGCTGGACCCTGGGGTAAGGGAGTGGGGTTGAATTTGGCATTGTTGTCATGAGGGTCCCCATGCTGGGCTCCAGGGCTTGGGGAGGAAGGAGCTGGAGAACCCCACATTAGGGCTCTGAAATGGCATGGTCCCTTCAGAGTGGTTCCTGAACATCTGACCTTTTTTTAGCACAATGACTCCAATCCAGCCAAGACACTTCTGCTCCCTGGCCTTGGTTTCCTCATTTGTGTAGTGAGGGGGTGGGACCCTGTCAGCTCAGAGCTTCTTTGATACTGTAGGCAGGACCTCCACATCATTTGTGGTGTCCAGTGCAAAATAAAAATGTGAGGCCTCCTGTTCAGAAATGATCAAGACTTTCAAGACAGCTGCAGTAGAGCATTCAATGAAGCATGGGCCCTTCTGAGCTTGGGGCCCTGTATGACTGGCTCAGGTCATGTGTCTATGAAACCAACCCTGGCTGTGGGCTCTGCCAACTGCAACAAGACAGACAGTGTGGCTTTGAATCTGACTCCAGAGGCTCTAGTGCAAGAGGGACAGTGGGCAGGGGGCAGGTGGTCCTGCCTCTCCCTCAGACTCTTCCATGGAGCTGGACCAGGAGGCCCTGTGGAGGCAGGAAGTAGTACCTGACGGCCTTTCTTCACAGAGGTTTCAGGAATCACCCCAGAGATACTGTTTCTTATCCTAAAGGAGCTAGAGCTTGCCACCCCCACCCACTTGCCTTCTCCATCCAAGAGGCTGAGTTTCCTGGACTAGGGCAGGAGTAGGACTCCAGAGAAACAGTGTAGCTAAGGGATTAGCTTTGAATGAGGCCTATCTCAGTTTAACTTGGCTCATTTATTTATTATCCTATGGGGACTTTATTTTATTTTTTTCAGTTAATGTTTTTTTAAAAAATTTATCTTTATTGTTGAAAGTATTACAGATGTCCTCTTTTCCTCCCCCCCATCGATCCCCTCCAC